GTGAACTATGAAAAAGTGTCCAAGAGACTTGCAGGAAGCTGTGTCCCCTGCATGGACATCAGAACACTTAGGGGATCTAAAATACTTGTTTAAGAAAACATAATGAAAGATTTACTGCTTTACTAACGTTGTTGCGTATCTCCATTCCTTTTCTAAGCTGAGAGAACAACAGTTTGGTTAGAATAGCACAGACCCTAGCTACCTCAACTCAGGCAGTTGATTACTAGATCTGCCTTCCAAAAGCCCAATCTTCTAAGGACCATGTTGATACCTTTGTACATACTGTTACAAATTTTACTCAGATGGAGACTGTACACCAACATGGGACCTCAGAGCCCACATTATTATGTATAGTGTTCAAAATATTCATTACCCAGCTGAGATGGTCTTTTTACATGGGCTCTATTATTATTATTATTATTATTATTATTATTATTACCACCATACAATTCTTAATACACCTTTATACCATAATTTATCATATCTCTGTATACAAGATATGTTGACACCAAATTCACATCTTCATACATGTATTTTGTATAATGATGAGGGTCTCTATCCATGCAATTCCCCTTCTCCTTCCCTTTCCCTCCCACCCCTCTTCCCTATCTAGAGGTAATCTTCTTCCCATGCTCTTCCTCCCTACCCCATTTTGAGTCACCCCCCTTATATCAGAGAAGACATTTGGCATTTGTTTTTTTGGGATTGGCTGACTTCACTTATCATAATCTGCTCTAATGCCATCTTCAATTTTCCTTGCCTCACTTCCCTCTTATTGCATCTAACACCACTTTCCCGGTCCATAGAGGAATATGAATCCCAGAATAATTTCAAAATGAGACCTCCTCTGGAACAACTACATTTGTATGGTACAAAATATTGTCCAATTTCCCAGAGAAGATTACAGCAGTAACTGATTAATCCTTCCCAGACCATTCTTTGATGGTTGCACAGGCTTTAAAGTTGGGGATTATTTCCTCATTGGGGACCTACTGGATTTCTTTAAAGAAACAATGGTTTTCTGTGCCTGTGCAGGAAATGTTTTCATCTGTAAAATTAATAACTGTCCTTGGGCTATTAAATGACTCAGAAACTTCACAACTCCCACCCAATATTTTCTAGGGAATTTAGTGATACCATTTTCAATTAATTCATTAAAGGAATCAGCTCAGTGGGCAAGCTCCCACTGGCCCAGCACATCTCTGGTGGAAGTCCTGATGGTGATGAATACTTTTATTTATACCTTATTACCCTGTTGGAGAATTGGGGCACACCATTGAGTCCTCTGAAATCTGTCAACAACTTTGGTCATCTTGGCCAATGAGACAGCCTTGTCCATCTCAAATTTACATACTTCTCTAGACTTCTTGGCCAAGGTAGTTCCAGATAAGAGCATGGTATTATACTATCTGTTAGCTGAGCAAGGAGGAGTTTGTGCTATAGCAAATACAGCTTGCTGCATTTATAGTAATACCTCCTCACTGGTGGAGACCAGGATTGAAAAGATCAGGCAATGAGCAACTTGGCTACAACACAGACCCTTGACCACCACAGATACGTTTTGGATGGGATGGGGATAGACCTAACTGACTGGTTCTCTAGCCTCTTCTCTTGGATACCAAGAGATATTAAGTCTATTTTACTAGGTCTTCTCTACCTAATTCTGACTACCCTGCTTATCATTGCCCTTGTATATGTGTCTTTCCATTTACTGCTCTGTTGCTATTCCACCCTTTTCAACTATGCAACTAAAACCCAAAAGAAAGAATGTCAACAAGTAAAAAGCTTTCATTCTAAAGACCCCTTTCATTGTGTCTTTTCAGCAGGAAATAGCCTGGAGATGTCATTGCCCACTTTCCATATAAATGGAAGCTAGAAACTGACAGTGGGGAAATATAACAGGGGTTCACTTGATGCTTTGACTATATCCCTTGTTGCTTTAAAACTTTTTTTTTTCTTTTTCCCAACCTTCTTTTGCCTAATCTTCTTTTCCCAGATCCTGCTTTTCCTACCCTTCTCCTCCCCAATCTTTTCCCTGATCATCTCCTTCCTGACCTCTCATTCCTAATCTCATTTCTCTGAATCACCTCTTTGAAGAACCCCTGTTCCCCATGATGGTCAGAATTACAGGCTCTGGGACAGGAGCCCCCTGTGTTTCTCCACTGCTAGCCAAGCAATAAACCTTCTTTTTCCTTTTTCTCAAAAAAAAAAAAAAAGAAAGAAAGAAAAGAATATTATTGAACTGAATCCATCAATATTTAAAAAGGTTAATACATTATGACCTTGTGGGGGTTTACCCTAGTAAATAAAAGGTTGATTGGTATAATATTCAGAAATTCAACCAGTATAATTACCCATATCAATAGATAAAATTATGGGTTCCAGATGGTAGAAATTAAAGGAAGTTATGACCTAGACATTTTTGGTGCTTGTGTTATATCACCTGTACAACTCCAAAGGTATCATTTGTATATTGTTATTATTCTACATGAATGACAAACTGGCACTATGCAATAAAATAAAATTTCAAATTTGTGAAATAACTGACCAAAAGGCAATGCAACTTTGAGCTGGATTAACAGAAATAAAAAATCCAAGTAAAAATATATTATCTTCCAGCTATTCCACTTGGCCCAATTCACACTATACCTGGAATATTCTATTTTGTCCTGAACTCTATACTTCCAAGGACACCAAATTTCGTCAGAGAATGAAGGCCATGAGTCAAAGGAACTATAAACATCTCATATTTTTTTTTAAAAAGTTGTCACAACTAGAAATATTTAATCTTCAGAAAAAAGACATTGGGAACGTATACTGCACTGTAATTATTTATGTTCTATATGTCCTGAAGACTGTCAATTTCCTAAGGGAAGATTCCATGCCCTGTTTTTAACTTTGTATTTCCAATACCTAAAACATGGTAAGTCCTCAAATATATGAGGGGCTCAAGGAGAAATAAACTAAACTTTAATAACAGAAATCAGAAAGTAGTTATTCTGCAATGGAGAAGGAAGGAAAAACTGATTTAAAAAAAAAAAAAAAACTGAGCCCCATAGCATTATTAAAGGTTTTAGCATTACATACCAAATGTGTCCCTTTCCCCCACCTCCTGCAGCAAAAAACCTTAGTATCTCATTAACCTGAATTAAGCCTAGGCAACTCTTGGCTGGTATACAAGTATCTTCTGTGTCTGGAGTCAATCAAACCATAGGATTTGACTTCAGAGGAAAAATGAATACTGAAAAGTCAATGACAATAAATGCTAACCCCACTTAACTGGCGAAATTACCCTGGTGACTAAAGGAAGTGACACATATCACAACAAGATGATTCTCATATCCAGAAATGGTATAAAGAATATTAGCCTATCCCTGGCACTGGAATAAAAAAAGAATATTAGCAATTACATTCAGTCTTGGCAGAACTACATCTGAATTTCACAAATAATCTAAATTACAGATATATAACTCTTCCAATGAAAGTGGTATTCCTGAAAAACTCTCTCAAAATACATTTCTGAAAGGCAATCATATTTTCCAACAACTTCCATTATAATTCCAAAGAGTGACAGAAATGGCTCTGGTTCGCTAGCGCCTGCCACAGACCCCTCCTGTCCTCTGCCTTAATAAGCCAATTGAAAAGAAACAACAACAACAACAAAAATATATATATATATAAAACAATGATAGAAATGACCCAAATAAACTAAACAGTTTATTGACAAAATTAACTTTTATACTGTTAGCACATGCTACAAAAGGATAGATAGTCTGGCAGCTATAATTTATGTATTCAGATAAGAACTACAGACAAGATCTAAGCAAGTCATACCCCTTCCACTCTGCCTTGGTTTTCTCACTTAGAATTAATTAACTGAAAAATAGTAGATACATAGATGAACGAATGAGTGCCTTTTCCATAGACAAGTTCAGGTGTTTCTCTAATGCCTGATAAATAGCAGGGCAACCAATCTATCAGACATGGGTAAACAAACATCAATGTCAACTAACACCTGATGTAAACTCTCCTAAAACGTTAAAACTTAACAAATGAAGTAATTCTGTTCCTCTAATAAAATATATATCATCTCTCTCTCAGATTATTAAATGTAGTTCTTTTCAATGTAGGCCTTCATCTAGTTAGGCTTTCCAGACTTAATTTTTTTTCAGTACAGATGCAATTTTTAGAAATTTTTTTCTCTTTCCACATTTTTAGAATATTTTAAAACATCTTTATTGGTGAATTATAATAGGATTCATTTTTGAAATATATGTACCTACATATACCATAATTTGGTCCAGATTCAATTTTTATAAAATCCCACACTTACTTAACATATGCATAAGATTATTTGAAGCCAGATTTGTTTTTTCATTAGCCAATTAATTTAGTTTTTTGCTATAATATTTTTCTTTTCCATATTTTTATTGGTGCATTGTAATTATTCATAATTGTGGGATTTGTTGTTACATATTCATGTACATGATATAATAATATGATTTGGTCAGTATCATTCCCTAGTATTTCCCCTTTTCCTCTCTACCTCCCTCCTCCTTGTCTTTTTCCTCTACTTTAGTATGTACTATACAACTTAACAGAGTGTTTTTTGCACAAGTAGAAAATGAGCACACTCTTACATAATAATCAAACTCCATTTAAATACATTCACAGATCAACAATACCTAGTGAACTCATAAAATAAAAAGGTATATATGGCAGAACATTTGCACTATTACTGATGTTTCCTAACACTAATATTTTAAAAGGTTCTAATGCATATAGAATATAAAAAAGAGGGCTAGGGCTGTAGCTCAGTAGTAGCACACTTGCCTGGCATGTGAGGCACTGGGTTCAATTCTCAGCACCACATATAAATAAATAAATAAAATAAAGGTCTATCAACAACTTAAAAAAAATTTTAAAAAGAATATAAAAAAGAACCAATAAGACAGAGTAATCTGTGCAAATATACACATATAATGAAATTTAATACAGACCTTTTTTCTGCCTGGGTTTTTGAGATTCAGCAGATGCAGAATATTGAATTTTCTGAAATGAAAGAAGTTATCTATGTTAAAGCACTTAGGATATATTCAAATAACAAGAATAATCAGAAGCTCATCAATCATACAAATAATTCATTAAGTATCAAGTTATACATTTTCTATCCAAACTATAATGCATAATGCCTATTTATAAAATATATTTATAATGTATATTTATAATATACAAAAATATGGTATATAATATATGCATCAATATTTTTAATGTATTAAGTTCTAAAAAACTTCATATTAGTATTCTCCTTCTGATATACTTCTCAGTAATCAAACCAGAAAGGTAATCTCTATTTGATAAAAGGAAGCATATAAGGTCATCTGCACAGAAATTGCCTAGAACTCAATTCTTTGTAGAAAATATTCAAATGGATTTTTCTTATACCAATTTTGTTTTATACATGAAATGCCATGTTATAAGCAAAAAAAAAAAGAAAGAAAGTTTCCTATATATAATAAGAGACTTTAATTCTTAAGTTCTAGATATGCAACAAATCCTGACTAAGTAAAATGAAAAAGAAATCCACACTTGGGTATATTACAAGAAACTGCACCAGAGACAATAAGAAATTCTTAGGGTTGGGGATGTTGCTCAGTGATAGAGCACTTGCCTAGCATGAGGCCCTGGGTTCAATATCTAGCATCTCAAAAAAACAAAACAAACAAACAAAAAACCTTGAAAGCAGCCCAAGAATAAAAATATCACCAGATAACCTACAAAGAAAGGACAAGTAGATTGGCAGCTGTCTAAAATCAAAACTGGAAATTGAAACCACACTAATAAATCATAAGAATAATTACTCCAAATGTCAGATACTAAGTAAAATGACTATTAATCTAGATCACACATTAGCAAACCATGCCCGCAAGTCAAATCCAGTGTGTTTTTATATGACCCACAAGCTAAGAGTGGTTTTTTTATTTTAAATGGTTGAAAAAAGTATATTTGGAAATTCCATAAGTCAAATTTCAATGCCTACAAATGAAACTTTATCAGAACACAGCCATACTTCTATGTTTATATATTGAGTAGGGTTTATTTTATACTACAACAATATACTTCAGTGTTTATAACAGATTGTATAGTCCACAAAGCCCAAAATACTACCTGGCCCTTTACCCAGAAAAAGTTTGCCAATCCCTGATCTAGAGTTTTATACCCATCAAAACTTTCAAGATCAAAGGCTTTCAGAATGTTGAAGTTTTTAGACTCTCACTAAACTGTAAGGGATAAACACCGGAAAACAAGAAAATAATTCCAGAATGAAGAAGGGAATAAGCAAAGGAACTGCTAAAATATATGAGTATTTTCAGCATCTTTTTTTAATATTTTTTTTTAGTTGTAGATGGACACAACACTTCTATTCTATTCTATTTATTTGTTTATTTATTATTTGGTGCTGAGGATCAAACCCAGTGCCCCACACATGCCAGATGAGTGTGCTACAACTGAGCCACAACCACAGCCCTATTTTCAGCATCTTGTTAAACAAGGTATAATTTGTGGTGCTGAATTAAAAAAACATCAAGAACTACAAAAAACTAAACAACAAATGGCTTAAATTATCAGATGGCAATAAGCAGTAAAGCATTTGATGGCCCCTGTATTATTCAGATTTAAGTGTGAACTTCAAATTAAACACCTATTTAAAATTTTTTTGGTACTCACTAAAGGAAGGCAACATAAACAATGTACAACAAATGGAATGAGAGGTGCAGAAAGAGAAATAATTCAGAAAGAGAAAAAATTCAGCTTGGATTATGGCTCAGCAGTAGAGAACTCTCCTAGCATAGGCGGGACCTGGGTTGATCCTCAGCACCACATAAAAATAAAGGCATTGTGTTGTGTCCATCTACACCTAAAAAAAAAAAGGTGAGGGACTGATAAGGGCTCTGGCATGTGTGAGAACTTAGGTTGGATCCCCACTACAAAAACATAAATAAACAAATGGAGGGGAAGGGAAAAAAAAAAGAAGGAAGAAAGAAAAGGGGGATAAAATTCTCCAGGATAGATTCTATCAGAATGGGTTTTTTTTAATATTTATTTTTTAGGTGTAGATGAACACAACACAATGCCTTTATTTTTATGTGATGCTGAGGGTCAAACCCAGGTCCCTCCAGTGCTAGGTGAGCGCTCTACCCCGCTGAGCCACAATCCCAGCCCCAGAATGGGTTTGTTAAAATATCCAGATGCATGTTATTATAAAGACACATCTAAAACATAAAGACAAAGTAAAAGATGGGAAAAGAATCATCAAGAAAATAGAAACAAAAAGAAAACCACAGTACCAATATTAACCTTAGACAAAACAGACTTTCAGGAAAAAAATTTATCAGGAGAAAGAAACTAGTTCAAATAGATCAAAGACTAAAACAGAAAAGGCAAAAATTTTAAAGCTTTTAAAAAACAGGGTATGGAAGGATTATTTACTATATAAAACAATATATACAAACAAGTAAATTCATCCATATTCAACTATATTAAAATTAAAAACTTCTGGCTGGGGGCAGTGGCCCATGCCAGTAATCTCAGTGGCTCAGAAGGCTGAGGCAAGTTCAAAACCAGCCTCAGCCATTTAGCAAGGCCCTAAGCAACTTGGCGAGACACTGTCTTAAAATAACACATAAAGGGCTGGGGATGTGGTTCAAGCAGTAGTGTGCTCATCTGGCATGCGTGGAACGCTGGGTTCGATCCTCAGCACCACATAAAAATAAAGAGGGCTGGGAATGTGGCTCAAGCCGTAGCCCGCTCGCCTGGCATGCGTGCGGCCCGAGTTCGATCCTCAGCACCACATACAAACAAAGATGTTGTGTCGGCCAAAAACTGAAAAATAAATATTGATAAATATTGAACATTCTCTCTCTCTCTCTCTCTCACACACACACACTCCCCCCAAAAAATAAAATAAAATAAAGATGTTGTGTCCGCCGAAAAACTATTAAAATTCTCTCTCTTAAAAAAAAAAAAAAGATGTTGTGTCCACCGAAAACCAAAAAATAAATATTAAAAAATTTCTCTCTCTCTCTCCCTCTCTCTCTCTTAAAAAAAAAAAAAAAAGACATAAAAAAGGTTGGAGATGGGGCTGGGGTTGTGGTTCGGTAGTAGAGCACTTGCCTAACACATGTGAGGCACTGAGTTCCATTTTCATCACCACATAAATAAAATAAAGGTTTTTTTTTGTTGTTGTTGTTGTTTTGTTTTTTTTAAAAAAGCAGGGCTGTGGATGAACCTCAGTGGTAAAGCACCCCTGGGTTCAATCCCCAGTACCGTTCTACAACTCCCTGCCAAATTAGAAACTTCTGAAGCTTGATGCAATAGGATACATAATGGTCCCAGCTACTGTGATGGCTGAAACAGGAGGATTACGAGCTGTAGGTGAGACCTCCATCTCAAAAAAACAGAACAAAAAACGAATTAAGAACTTTTGTTCCACAAAAGGAAAGACTAAGATAGATACATACAGATAGACAGAGATATACAGATATGTTTTTATTCAGGTTCCTTTACTCCAAAGCCCTCAATATTTCCTAAGTGATTAGAAAAATGTTAGGGCACTTAAGGTCTCAGAAGCAGGCTTCAGAAAGCAGTCTCTCTTTCTGACCTCCCCTGCCCCTCCTTCTGCTTGGTCCTCTTCCTCCCGCAAGACAGGCCACAGAAACTAGAATTTCCCTGCACCCCACAGCAAACCCTAGAAATTTAAACCTTCCCCTGCCTTGAAGTCACTGGCATAATGAAATTCTGACTTACCTAGTCAAATCATAAGACCCCATTTAAGAATCCCTACTGTCTACCTGGAAGGAATGCTACACAGAGAGGCCAAGAAGAATCTGACTGGATCAGGCTTGCTGGGCTTCCCCACTCAGTCTAATAGTAAGCATGCTTACACAGTTAAGTCTCCATAAAAACCTAAAAGGACAGATAGGGAGAACTTTGGGAGAGCTGAACACATGGAAGTTGCTGGAGGGTGGTGGATTGGAAAGGTCATGGAAGCTCTGCTCCTTTTCCCCGTATCTCATCTCATCATCTGTATCTTTTGTAATATTCTTTTTAATAAACCAATAAATGTAAGCAAGTGTTTTCCTGAGTTCTGTGAGCCACTAGAGCAAACTAATCAATCCCATTGAGGGAGTTTCCAATTTATAGCTAGCCAATCAAAAGCACAGGTCAAACCACCTGGGCCTCACTACTGGTATATGAAAGGCAAGACCAGTCTTGAAGGCTGAGCTTTCAACATGTGGGACCTGATGCTATATCAAAGAGATAACATCAAACAATTGAATCAGAAGACACCCTACTGGGGGCTGGGGATGTGGCTCAAGCGGTAGCGCGCTCGCCTGGCATGTGTGCAGCCCGGGTTCGATCCTCAGCACCACATACAAAGATGTTGTGTCCGTCGATAACTAAAAAAAAATAAATATTAAAAAAAAATTATCTCTCTCTCTCTCTCTCTGGGTTCCAGCCCCAGCATTGCAAAAAATAAAATATAAAAACAATAGAATTAGGGTATTATAAAAATTTTATAAGTATAAATCATGGAAACCAGAGCTATCTGCTTGTTGCTTTAAAAAAAAATTAAGCTGGGCACAGTGGTGTACCCCTATAATCCCAGCTACTCAGGATGCTGAGGCAAGAGGATTAGAAGTTGAAGGGCAGTCTGGGCAATTTAGTGAGACCTTTTCTCAAAATAAAATAAAAAAGGCTAGGGATATAGTTCAGTATTAGAGCACTTGCCTAGCATATGCAAGGTCCTGCGTTCCATCCTTAGTATCACAAAGAAAAAAAGGAAAAAAAAATCCTCCTTTTCACATATTTATCTATAAATATCAGTCCCCAGTTCTTTTATAAATTTCAGAAGAGGCAAAATAATTTATCATGGAAAAAAATGGTGCCACTACCCAGCTTCTTTCCATTAGAAACAGTGCCGCAACAGATATCCATGTACTATGTGCTTATGCTTTACTTTTATTTCTATGGGACACAGATTCAGGAGTGGGATTGTTGAATCCTCTTCATTTTATTAGGAGAGGCAAGTTCACTTCCAAAAAGGACAAAAATTAAAATTTCCATGCAGCAGAAACTTGAGAAAATGAAATTACTATAAATATAACACTACCAGCAATAAACTCAACAACAACAAAATAGTTTGCTTCAAGCTGAAGTGCTAAAGTCATTTAAAAAAAAGTCATCCTCTTTAAAATACTATTTGAGATTCAAATATGCAGAACAATTCTGCTATCACAGACATCAAATTCATATTCTGTCCCACAAATACCTATCTATATGACAACAAGCACTAGAGGATAAAGAGTATTACAGCATGTCACCCTTTATATATCTTAAGATTATGTAGGGGGCTGGGATTGTGGCTCAGTTAAAGCGCTCACCTAGCATGTGCGAGGCCCTGGGTTCGATCCTCAGCATCACATAAAAAAAACAAACAAACAACAACAACAACAACAAAAAAAAAAAAAAAAAATATATATATATATATATATATATATATATATAAAAAACTATTAAAAAAAGATATGTAGGCAAAGTAGGTATTTAAAATTTCCAATATCTTAAAAGTCTAGTAACATTAATCATGTTATTTTAGTTTTTTAATTCTTAATTTAACAAAATATCTTTGCTTTGGGTTTTCTTTATACTCAGTTTTAGACTAAAATAATGTGATTACTCTACAAATGAAAGGAGAATAGAACACAAACAAAAGTCCATTGAGCAGATAATATGGCCTTGCTTATTAAGACAAAATTATGTTGTAAAATAATCAACCAAAGCAACTATGCTTCCCAGGATGTTTTTCAAAAGACAATAAATTCTGAAAAACTAAAATCATTCTAATATAGTACAGAACAAGCAACAGAAATTTAATACTAAAGCAAGGTAGATAAAGTTTCACATTTGGAACTTTAGAGAAATTAGACCCAATTATGCACATATGATTCACTACTACTATTAGGTTGGTTTGAGGTGACTAAGGGAACGAAGAACCAAAAAAACAACCAATCAGGCACGGACAGACAGTAATAATCACCTGTCAATCAGCAGGGTCTCCTGACTAATCCTGGAAGGACAGGGATCTCAGCAAGATCTCCCAACCAACCCTAGAAGGACAAGGGACCCTAAAACCTCCCTTCCTGCCCCAAACCTCCCTTCCTGCCCTAAGCCAAATAAAATTCCAATCCAAGCCTGGGTGCGACTTCCCCAGACCTGCTCTGTTTGACTGGAGGGTCTCGCCTGGGAGGGAATCTCAATCAGCCTTGCTCAGCAGCTTTTAATCTGCCTCCTTTTGGCTACTGGTGCCTAACCTTACAACTACTATCAAAAAACTAAAAACAGAAATAAAATATGATCTAGCTATCAAATTACTGGGTATACACCAAAAGGAATATATGAAATATTAAAGACATGCTTCTGTTCCCATGTTTATTGCAGCACTATCCATGCTACCAAGACACAGAATCAAAGGAGATGTCCAACAACGAATAAACAACAGATGGATAAAGAAAATGTGGTACATATACACAGTGTAAAATAATTCAGTTATAAAAAGAATAAAATCCTGCCATTTGCAGCAACACAACTGGAACTGGAGGACATTACACTGAATGAAATAAGGCGGGCACAGAAAGACAACTTGTGTTCTTGCTCATAAGTGGACAGTAGGGCTGGAGTTGTAGCTCAGTGGTAGAATGCTTGCCTAGAATGAGAAGGAACAGGGCTTGAGCCTCAGCACCACATTAAAAAAAAAAAAGGTTAATTCTTTAAAAAAAATAAGTGTATGCTAAAAACAATTGATTTATTGGAAGTAAAGAATAGAACAGTGATCTCTAGAGGTTAGGAAAGAGTAGGGAAGAGGGGGATTAAAAGGAGGCTGGATAAGAGGTATCAAACCAGAGATAAGTTCTAATGTTCTACAGCAAAGTAGGGTCACTATAGTTCACAACTATTTATTATGTATTTTATAAAGCACTAGAAGAAACTAGGCATGGTGGCACACGACTGTAATCCCCACTGATTCGGGAGGCTGCAGCAGGAGGATCACAAGTTCAAAGCCAGCCTCAGCAATTTAGCGAGATCCTATCTCAAAATTTAAAAAACAAATAAAAAGGTCTCAGATTGTGGCTCACTGATTAAGTGTGTTGGGAGTCTCCCTGAGAACTCCCCCGGCCTTTCAAACATGGCAGTGGGCAAATTGCAGTGGGCTGCTAGAACTCCCCGGGCCTTTCAGATAAGAAGCCCCTAATGCAATATGGCCACAGGCAAGTTGTTTTGAAAATCTTCTAATTGGCCCTCCCGTCTTCCCTACTCATGGACAGTTCATGCCCCCCATAAATCTTATGCAGGGCGGACAGGCTGCACCTAAGGTGATGACCTGACCTTTACTATGACTGGCCCTGGGAGCTTCCTGGTTTAAGATAACTGACTCTCACTTTCTATATAAGCTAACACCTGCTTGCAGTAAAGTGCTTCATCTTTGTCACTGCTATCTGTGTGTGTGCATTTTAATCTCCAACCTTCACCTTTCAAAGTGCTCCTGAGTTCAAACCCCAGTACCAAAAAACAGGAAAAACAAAACAAAACTAAAAGAGTTCGAAGGTTCTCAATGACAAGAAATGATAAATACTTAAGAAAATGCTAATTATCCTGATTTGGTCCTTATACATTGTATACATGTAGTGAATTATCACACTGCAACCCATAATATGTACAGTTATGTGTCAATTAAAGATTTTTAAATAACTACCACTGGGTCATCCTGATTTCATTTGGACTAATCTTACATCTAACAGTTCTGTGGAGTTGATGCTTCATTCAGACCAGCTGAATTACCAAACAGTACTTTCCAAAACTTAATCACAACAGAGAAAACATGGTCCTGCTTCACTAACAAAAGGCAGTGGCGTGAAAGCTTTTCAGGCTGTATCTCAATATATTCCTAATTCACAGGATTAACACAAACTGTCTTTACGCAAGTGGTAATAATGTCTTTCCATACCGTCAAGAGAAAGAAAAAGGGGACTAAGAACAGAGCCGTTTCCGGTGAAAATCTCTTTTCTATCCAGCGGACCCCAAGAAAGACCAGTACTACTACAGAGTCTGGGCCACAAAAGGACTCAGACTTGCCCTAGGCAACCATCTCCAGGGGTGAACCGAGGCCGCACTTGTCGTTCCGCCGCTCGGGACTCGGCTCCGCCTCTCCCAGGAGTGGCTGCGCCTGTCAGAGACAGTCCACCAGCCTGCCTCGGGGACCGCCGGGTGCTGCCCTGCCCCGCTACTGGGACACTAAAAAGAATCTCAGTGCTCACCGACTCAAGCGTCTCCTCAGCCATCTTGGCTCCGCCCACTGCTGCGCTGCCGGAAGTCAGCCGTTTCCCAGACGACCAGGCAAACGGAAGTCGAAGAACTGGGAAGGGCTGGAAGCCTTAGCCGAAAAGGAAGTAGATTGCCCGCTGGAAAGGTGAGGCTCCGAGCCCAGGGACTTCCGGGTCGGAGGGGAGTGTTGGTGTTGGCACTTCAGACCCCGTGGCTCTAAAGGAGTGGGTGGGAGACCTCGATCGCTGTGTAGAGGCTGCACGCTGCTATCGTTCTAGCTGGACAGCACACTCCGATGTGGTAGCATTGTTTTCCGGCTTGCTCTGGCTCCAATCTGTCTTTAATTCGATCCTGCTTCCAGGAAGGAGTCTTGGTTGAAAATCTCAGGCAGAGAATTGCTTTTTTGCTTTCCAAACAAAACTGCCCATTTCTTGGCTTTCGTAGTCTTCCTGAAGTACTCGGCTCATCAACCTCCCACTTTTGTTTACGGTTGTTTGCAAATCCGCTGTTGGTGGGCTGCATTTGAGGCTGTCTTGTTTTGATTTGGAAATACTTTAAAATCAGGAGATTTCACAAGAAACCTAGCTTCGGGATAAAGAGCCAACAATGAGCCTGCACTGCTGCATGAAAGTAAATAGCGGCTGCGACTGTAGATAAACATTTCGTTGATTTTGTCCACGGTCCTAACATCCCAGCGTACTTCAGGTGTTTTACCTTACTCACCTGAGTGAATTAAATACTTGTGTCATCTGAGGAAACGGGTGGGCTTTGTAGGCAAAAATAACTACTGCATGACCTGAGCCAGTCGTTTATTACAGCCTCATTCTAGTTCCTGGAACTAGAATAAACAAGATACAGGATCTCTGCACCCGGACCGACCTTCAGGGTGTAGCGAGTCAGACAATAAGTAAGCAAAATTTATGAAGAAACATTTCGCCAAGTAAATACAAATGACTCTTAAACATGTGAAAAAAGACTTTGCAAGGAAGAAAACACATGCAAATAAATATTTCCAAGTGATACTTTTCATCTTTTACATTGGCAGAGAACAAAAATTTTCACTGACATAGATATGAGGAAACGTGCATTCTTCATCCACTAGCAGGAATGTGAATTGGTAAAACTTCCATTTAGAGCAGTTTGACAATAACCAAAATTAAAAATGCACATAACCTTAAACTCAATTATTTCAATTATAGGAATTTATTCTATAGGTATAGATGAGGGAAATTACATACAAAGGTATATGATGCAGCATTGTTTACAATAAACCAAAGCTTGAAAGCAACCTAAATGTCCAACAATAGAAGTTAAATAAATTATAATTCCATACTATATGGCACATGAAAAATAAAGAGGCAACTATTTACATATTGATATAGAAGAATTGCCAGGATACATAATTAACAAAGACAAAGTGCAGAAAAATGCATATACTATCTGTAATTTTTTAAAAAAAGAGAAATATTATGTACATAATTGCTTGTATACTCGGAAAATATTTCTGGAAGGAGAGTCAAAATACTAAATGTTACTTTTAGGGAGGAGAACTGGGCACCAAAGGTACAGGGAACAGGAGAATTTTCACTCTACCTTTTGTACAATTTGAATTTCATTTTATATGTATGTATTACCTATGCCAATAATAGAAAAAAATAAAAAAGAAACACAACTGTACCATTAGGATTGTAGTAAATACTAAGAAAAAGAAACAAAATAGCAAATAAGAGTAAATAACAGGGGACCAGTCTCTAACTTGTTTGAATAGGGAAATTTTCCCTGGATATTTTAAATGAGACCTAAAGGATAAGGCATTAGCTTGGAAAAGGGATGTGCAGGTTAGGGAAGATTTCTAAGGCAAAGGGAGAATTTGTGCAAAGGCCCTGAGGATGGAAGAAGCTTGGCCAGTTTGTAGCACAGAAATAGAAGTGTGACTGGAAAAAGAAAAGGAGGAAAGGGTTTGTTTCAATAGGTGAAAAAGTTGGAGTCTAGTGGTGTAGATCCACAAAGGCCATATGAGGGATTTTATTGTAAGGACATTGGGAAGGCACTAGAGAGTTTTGAGCAAAGAACAGCATGATCAGAATGGACATTTAAATAATTCATGTTAGCTAATGAGCAGAGAATGAATTGGGAGAATCCAGGGGAGATAAAAGAGTGCAAATGAGATGAAACCAGTTCACCTGAACCAGAAAGAGGGTAAAAGAAATGGGGGGAAAAATAATGAATTCTTAAGAAACTTAGAGGATGGTACAAACCTCCTGAGATACAGAATGGGATGTGGGAGGATGCACAACAAGGAGATAATGTTAAAGGAATACTGCCAGGTTTCTAACTCATAAAACAACTGTACTACTAGAAGAATGCTACAGCTAAAAACTAGCAGGGGAGCCTTAGAGAAAACATTTGTAGAAAAGTCAAAAGCCTGTATCTCAAAATATAAAATCTCCCTGGAAGGGGTCCTGTAAGAAATAAAAGAATTCCTTTCAATAAATAGAAGCCATTGTTGTTATGTTTCAAAATCTCTCCTTTGACCCCAGATCTTAGGAGAAATAGAGTACTTTCTAGGTAGGTTCCTTTTCATAAGAAAGTACATTAATTTCTCAAATTGCATCACCAAACTTAATGTGCTTCAATTATATAACTTAAAAACTCTTCTCAAAAAACAGTATCTTGGGGCGGGGGATGTGACTCAAGCGGTAGCGCGCTCACCTGGTATGCGTGCGGCCCAGGTTCGATCCTCAGCACCACAAACAAAGATGTTGTGTCCGCCGAAAACTAAAAACTAAATATTAAAAAACTCTCTCTCTCCATCTCTCTCTCTCTCTTTAAAAAAACAAACAAACAAACAAAAAAACACAATATCTTTACAGGAAAATCCTAAATATCACATAAAGCATGTTTGTGTATCACACGAGTCTTCATTTCCCTTAGAAAACCTCCTTAAATGTGACCCTATTTATTAAAATCATTCTAATCATATAGCTGTGCAAAGCATTCCAAACAAGACATTAATCTAATTTTTAGTGGGAAATGAGGAGGCAGAAGAATCAGGCATAAGTAATTTATAGTACCTCCAATATGATTATCTTTTATTTACTTTTGGTATTGGAGATTGAACCCAGGGGTGCTATAAAACTGAGCTACATCTCAGTTTTTTATTTTTTATTTTTTATTTTTTTTGAGACAGGGTCTTGCTAAGATGCTGAGGCTGGCCTTGAACTTGGAATCCTCCCAAATCACTGGAATTACAGGTGCCCAGGTGCAATTTAAGGTTAAAGAAGGAGCTGCAGCTGAGTTTCTCCATTTTTAATATTTAAATGTCATTTTTACTTTTCTCAGAGTCCACAGCCAGCTTTTTTTTTCCATGCAACCTGCTGGGTAGTATCTAGCACCTCACGCCTCATTTGAAGCGTTTAGTGTTCCCAAAACTCATACCACAAACTTCTGAGACCCCAGCCATCACTTTGGGAAAAAAACACTTTGAAATAAAACAAAATATTCATATTATTTGTATGCCTTCACAAAGTATTTTAAATATGTCGTTCCTAATGATATACTCAACAATGGTCAATGGTGAATATGAGCAAAGGCATATTTACCATTTTGTTTGTGAGAAAATAAATACTAGAAACATCCAAATATCCACTACCAATAATTGTTTAAATAAAACAAGGTACATCCATACTAAGACATATTACGCAGCTTGTAAAAGTCCTTAAGATGGCAAAATAGTTATATAGAGAAGGTGAAGAAAATATGCTTCCATTTTGGTTAAAGGAAATAAAGGGGAGAGATATTTACACATTTTACAAATACAATTCTGAGAAGAAATAATAGGAAACTGTAAGACATCTGTCTTTGTGGAGGGAGTAAAGGAACTAAGGGACCTAGGATGGAAAGATACTGCTTTTCATTATTTACAATTCTATAAAATTTAACTTGCTATCTTCCATGTATTTTTAATTTAAAATAAGTTAACAAAATATGTAAATAAAACCATTTTAAAACTCTAATTCCTGGAATTCACAACTGCTTTGTATGCAGAAAGTCACAAGAGAATATTGCTCCCACTCTATCAAATAACAAAAGAAGTGATTTTAGCTTGAAAATTTTTTAAAAATCTTAAATTCATCAGGAAGAAGAGGACACAAGCCTACATAAACCAAATTTGAGAAAATGTCAACCAAGTTCTTCATAAGAGAGAAAAGACTCATTGCTGCTCATATTTCTAATTGAACTATGCTAGGAAGAATCATCCACCATAGGGGGAGTAAAGAGAAACTTGCTGAAAGTTAACAAAATTTTAATGGCCCCATAGAGGCTGGCATGACTTTAATATCTGGGAGGACCCAAATCCAGAGGAAGCCCACACCCACCCACCAATCGTACTTCATAGATATTAAACAAATACAGGGATGTAGTATACCAAATTTGGAAGTAAATGAATATTAGGAGAGCGAAGAGAAATCTACCATGTTAAGGAGCCTTTTCCAGGTGCAAAATGCCTTTTAAAATGAGGGGGCAAGGTAGAAGAGCTGAGAAATCCATCAGAGGCACTCTTGAAGACTTTTAGGAGGGGCAGGAGAGTGGAAAGTCTCATCCCTCAGGCATTGGGGTCATTCCTTTAAAAAAGAGTAAGAACCTACACAAGTGACTGCTGAGAAAAATACCCCCCATCCAGATGATAAAAAGGAAGGAAGGAAGGGAGGGAGGAAGGGAGGAAGGGAGAAAGCAAGCCTGGAGTCAAAGCTATGAAGCAGAGAGAGACTGTTTCCAAAAGCTGATGGTTAGACTGTTAAGCAGTTGGATCTCTGGAATCTTGCCAGCATCCCAAATCCAGGTCCTGCTGAAGTAAAATTCTCACCTTCAAAATATTTGTAACTAGTGGTGAACCAAATCAAACTAAAGCTACAATAAGGTCCAGTTCTAGGTCAAATATACATCAGATTAGCCTAAAACAGAAATGGCCACACCCCATTTTGGAAGTAGATAATAAATAATGCTTACTTCAGTCTC